AGCGCGGAATTTCATTTTGAATGTATAGATCTTAGGCCCTATTATATCTATTTAAGCCTTGTATGTTGGCTATACAAAACTTGTATATTATTTTGAATAAAGGCTTGTAATATTGGGGGACATCAAGTATTTATTCAAATGAGGAATGTTTATTGTTACATTGAGATTTGTTGTGTAATGTTTAATTAATTGCTTAAATGCTGGTATTGGACCTTGGAATGATCATTGTGTTAGTTAAAACACAGGTTGTGTGTTGGGTGGAGTTTCTCATACAAAGGTGACTCTACCAGATTTCTATTAGAATTGGTCCGTAAGGATCATGCCTTGAGTTAATTAATGAGACATAACGAGTATTAGGCCCCCCGGGAATTTGGGGTGTCACACAAATGCAAAACCAAACAACAACCAAGCGATCATCAAATAGCTGAAGTCGACGACAATGCAATGACCAACACCTCAATTCAAACCCATGAATAGAACGATGGCCACAAATCCCATGGTCATGGTTTGCACCAGTAACACCATAAAAGGAAATACGAAGAAAAAGAAAAAGAAAAGAGGACGTGTGTGGGGCTCAAATATTCAATACCAAAAGCAAATTTGAGATCAAATTTGAATTCAACCTTGCTCTGATACTATGTTAAGTTTAGAGAATGAAGAGAAAATAATAATAAGAGAGGGAGAGAGGAGTTTTGTCATTGAAAAATACCTCTCACTCTTAACTTATATATTTATAGTTACCTAATGAAAGCATAAAAGACTATATACCCTTAGTGATATATACTTATTACAACCATGTAACATAGTGACAATAAGATGGGAATACTCTCAATAGTTTTTTATACAAACTTTTGGATTTTTGAATGGAATGAATAATGTCACTTTTGGTATTTGGCATGATTTAATGCTTTAAAATAATTGTGTTTATGTAAGAATGTCTCGTGTTCATATTAGGATTGTTGGGGGTTTTGTTGTTGTTTGGTATTAGGCGCATAATTGGATGGTTCTTTGTTTTATGGTTTTGAGGTTGTAGTTATTTATTGGTTGGCTATGTGAGTGTATTAGAATAACACCAAATGTTTAGTTGATTTTTTTGTTGAATTTAATTTTCGAGAATTTTAGTAGCCGTGTTTGGCTGCCCAAAGCTGGAAAAAATAACTTTAGATTATTTAGAGACAAAATGATTGTACCTTTTATGCTCAATTTGGATAGAAAAGTGTTATCCTAGGAAGCATGGATACTCCTCAAGGGGGGGGGGGGGGGTCGATGTTGTCGAATACGTGTTCGACACGGATACATGTGGGACACAGCTGGACATGTGTCTGACACTTTCACAAGTTTCTTGAACAGTGAAGAAGCATTTGATGTTGATTGATATGGCTCGGATACGGGATTAATACGGTGGGATATGGTCACAACCATGGATCTATTTTGAAACCCAAAAAAAAAAAAAAAGGAAGAAGACAATACAAATATTATCAGCCACTGCCATTGCCACAGATCTCCACCTCTTCAAGCAGGTATATCGTCTTCAGAACTCTCTTCAGCCACTCTCTCTATCTCTCTGATGCCTGCATATGAGATTTGCTCCCCACTGCCCATAACATATTAGCCCATTTATCAAATTTAGTATAAGCTCATTTGTCCAATTATACAATATTAATTAATTATTCAATTTTATTATTAATGTTATTATATATATAAAAATATATTATATTATTTTAATTAGCCGCATTCTCACCATACCCGTCCTAAACTTTGAGATTTTGTTGTGTCCCTGTGTTCGTATCCATTCTTCCTTGGTGTTATCCATAGCAAATTTGGATTTGTCCTCTTTTTGTTCTCATTTCAACGACAATGGGTCTAAGGTGCTGCAGCCATAACAAGGACATGTAGAGAAGATGAAAGTCCCTTCAAGAATTTGGAAGGATTTAGAGATGCAGCTGGTTTTGAATTTGATATCAATAAAGATAAGTCCACAGTTGTGGGTTGATTTTTCTCTCAATTTAACTTCTCACCATGGCATTAAAATTCTGATTGTGTGCTTATTAACCTTACAGGATTAACAAAACTGATCCAGTAGTTATGTATGGAACAGTTCCTAAAAAGATGTTTCTACCATTCATGCCAATACGATTTCAGGAAAATTTGGCAGCGTGCAATAGAAACTGAAGAAACATGAGTTAACGTGGTTGAAGCTCATGCCATGTTTATTTTTAGTAGCTGAAGCTCATGCTTCTGTTTTTTGGGGTAATTAGCTGAACATGTTAGTTGAATCTTATTGCCACTTTTGGTCAGTGGTTGATGATGATATTAAACACGTGATAGTGTTTGTTTTTGTTTCTTAAAAGTATCTTCCTTTCTTCCCCTCTTATCATTGTATTAATTCTCTCTTTTAGGGTGTGGTTATGAAACTAGAAAAATGTGTATGCAGGTTTAAATGTTTTCGGAGTTTTGTTATTGGAGGAAACTTTGCCAAAATTTTTAAATTTTTTGGATGTCATAGCCTTTGCTGTGAGATGAATGAAGTAAGACAAAGGTAGACAGCAAAAGACACAAGTTTAATTACATAGTAATGTTTTATGGAATTGATAGTTTTATAGTGGTCCTGATCAATGATGCAGATTTTCTATTGTGTCTTTAAGGCCTCTGCAATGGTCTTTGATTTCATTAAATGCAACATCTATTATCTATAGTAAAATAGTTCCTCTGTTCAGGAAATTCAACCATATGAATGTTTTCAACATATAAAGAAATAGTTCTAGGGGTAAAAGCATTTGGGTAAACACATTTCTGTCTCTGTTTCTTGTAGGTTTGGATTTGCTGCATTTGAAGCTACTTTAAGGTGGTTGTTATGCTCATTGCCATTTGCCTGCTGTCCCAAGCCAAGATACCCACCATCCATTTGTTGTTATGTTCATAAGATTTGCTCAATTGCAAAAAAAGGTTTGACTTAAAAAAAAATTGTTCCTGAACAGCTGAAGGTATTTTTAACTCTATTCGCATGTTATCTTTAATCTAAGATCCCTGCAGGTTTTTGCTTATTAGTATGTCTAGACTTGAAATAATTTTATCTCTTTGTTCTGCTTACAATGCAATCCTATTTGATTGCACGTCAAGGTTACTGATTTAGACCCTCCAACGAATCCTGCTCACTCAAAGGAATAGATTACGTGCGCGAGAGATTGGTACGAGAAAGTCACTAAAGAAAGTAAACTTTTCCACCTTTAGTTTTGCAAAAAGATACATTGGTATCCCAAAAGGAATGTTTCCATTTAACTATGTATATTATGACAATATTTCCAATCCTTCGCAAAAGTTGTTCAGCAATTCTACCCCACCACCTTAGACTCCTTCATCTTCTCCCCTCTCAAGTGTATAAGTTGCTAACTGCATATAGTAACCCTTGGATTTTGTTTTCCAATTCTATAAAATTATTTTCTTTGACAGTTATGAGAGTTCCACGAGCTAGTTTGAATTGTGCATATCCAACCAAGAGTATCTTACTGAAAGCTTTTCCATCAATAGGATCAACTTCTACAGTTGCATGATGGGTAGTTTGACTTTTTTTTGGGGACAGTGTTTTCTTGACTTAAGACAATTGGGAAAGTTCTTTTGGGGTCCCTATGTTGAGTAAGGGGGGAGAAGCACTACGAAAAAAAAAATGAAGTAAGAAAAGGGTAGAGTTGATGGATGGCCTACCAACTGAAGAAGATGGAAGAAATAAGTCATTCAGTTTACTAAAAAAAGAACTCTCATAATTTCGTAAAAAAAAACGCTGATACTCTCTTTCTTCAAGTGTGAGAGATTGGATCAAAATACAATTTCTGCTCAATAATATTTGACTACATTATTTAAGCCTCTGGGCAAATCTACTCATTCTTCAATGGCCTGGGTGGAGGTAATACTTTTTTCATGTTGTATATTGTCAGTTTCTCTAGAACTTCAAGATTTGGTTTATTCCACATGGTTGATACCTTGGTAGGAATTGTTTGGGAAAAGAAGTTTGGGGTGAAATATTATTATTCTAGTTGGACACTTATTATCTCCCCGTTTGTCGGTCTAATCTAAATGATAATTTTTGTTTGTTTTTTATTTCCTTGATGTTGGACCAGTTAAATCAGCTGAATAAATATCTTTATTCTCATAGTGTCTTCTATTTTTTGAACATGATTTCATTTTGCTAAACATCTACTTGGAGATGTCTAATTATGTACACGTCCAACCTACCAGTCACTCAACCTATAACAGCCCAACGTCCATAATGATAAATGATTTAACTTGAATTGTTCTGACGCCATTGCTTTTGCTTTTAAGGGTTGATCAAATTCAGCATCAAGGAAATTAGGAACGTTTGATTTAGCTTGTTATCCAAAGACAATTTTTTTACTATTTGGTTGCTTTTTCTCTATTTAATGTACGGGCCATGTTACATTTTCTGTTTATTATTTGTTCAATATTATTGGCTATCAGACTAAATTCCAAAATAATTTTTGTTCTCTCAGTTTTTCTATTTAATAAATAGTTGATTGACGCGCTCAAACACCAAAGCCAAAGTCCTAGTTGATAATTATATTGTTTATTCGTTGTTCTATTGTTGGTGTGTTCAATGATGATGTTGATATAGATTAGGGCATGGACATGTGGGTGAATGCCCTTTTTTTAGGAAAACTATAATTATGTTTTTAGATGTTGATCTGCATATGTAGTATGTAAAGTGCTTGATTGTGGTCCTTGGAGTGTTTTTATGTAGTGGGATTTTTTCTCAATTAAATAGATTGATTGTTTTATTGCTTGTTGCCATGGGGGAATGGTAAAAGATTGATAAGCAGGATATTACTGCTAGAAATTCTTTGACTGTAAATGCTAATATAATGTATTTTTATTATTTTTTAATGGATAAAATTACGGCAAAAAAATGACATTGTATGAGTATTCAACTTTTGTTTTACTAAGTATATAAATTTTGTAAACTGGTTAGTGTTTTTAGAATGTGTTCAATGAATACAGTGCTCACAAGGGGAGAACAGATTCATGTTTATGCTGTTAACATCCAGTTTGATGGAAATGTTTTTGTTGTCACTGGGCTTGTTAATATGTATTCCAAATGTATGCGCATTGAGGAAGTTGAGTATCTCTTTGGATGATGCCTGATGGGAAAAATCACATTACGTGGACTGCTATGATCTTAGGCTACTCTCAAAATGGTGACTTACACAAAGCAATCAAGTGTTTTCAAGACATGAGATCAGAAGGGGTTGGCAGCTTGTGCAGCCGTTTCTGCTCTTGGGTTTGGGTTGCAGGTGCATGGCTGCATCACTAAGGGTGGTTTTGGGACTAATGTGTTTGTTTGAAGTGCATTAGTGGACATGTACGCACAATGTGGAGACTTGAATAGTGCTAGGAGAGTGTTGGAGGCCATGGAGGTTGATGTGGTTTCTTGGAACTCCATGATTGTTGGGTGTGTGAAACAGGATTGGAAGAGGAAGCACGTCGTTGTCTCAAAAAATGTGTGAAAAATATGGATATTGATGATTTTACATACCCTTCAGTTCTAAACTGCCGTGCTTCCAAAACGGATATGGAAAATGCAAAATCTGTCCACTGGTTGTTAAAACTGGATTTCTGGGTTACAAGCTCATAAACAATGCTGTAGTAGATATGTATATATGCAAAATTGAGAGACCTAGATTGCGCACTTGAGGTGTTCAATAGTATGGTGGACAAGGATGTGATCTCATGGACCCACCTTGTCACACTGGCTATGCCCACAATAGTTCCCGTGAGGAAGCCCTCAAGTTGTTTTTTGAAATGCAATTCGCAGGGATTGATCCTGAACAAATTGTCATTGCTAGCATATAAAGTTCATGTGTGGAACTGACAGTTTTGGAATTTGGGCAACAAGTTCATGGGAGTTCTATCGAACTTTGCTCTGGTGCATCCTTATCAGTCAACAATTCACGCGATCATGACAATGTATGCAAATTGTGGGTGCCTAGAAGCCGTTAATAAAATTTTTGACTCGATGCAAATGCCGATTGTGGTTAACTGGACTGGACTGCTGTTATAATTGGTTATGCTCTAAATGGTAGAGAGAAGGAGTCTCTACAGTTCTATGATGAGATTATTGCGAGTGGCACAAAACCTCACTTTATTACTTTTATTGGCTTGCTATTGCTATTCGCCCGCAGCCATGCTGGTCTTACTGAACATGGGCACCACTACTTGGAATCCATGGATAAAGTTTATGGGATAAAACCAGGTCCTGATCACTATGCATGTACGATTGACCTTTTGGGCTGCTCAGGAAAGATGCGTGAAGCCAAGGAGTTACTCAATGAAATGGTTGTGGAACCTGATGCAATTGTGTGGAAAGCATTGCTTGCTGGCATGTACACTCATGTGTCCCCACTTGTTTCTACACTTTTCATCTCTCTCTCTCTCTCAACATACACGTTTGCGTTCTCCTTCTGGATTTCAATATCGTTTTTCAAGATGACCCATCACTCAAAGCGTGTTCTTCTTTCTTCTGCAGACTCTTGTGCATTGAATTTTTGTACTATTTTGTGTTCGTGGTGTATCCTTCCTTCTTTATTGTCTTTTGTATTTTTATTCAATGGTTAGGGATGATCGGGTCAATTTACAGGGACCTTTTGACTAATCTTCTTTCCGGTCTAGTCATGCACGGTGAGATTAGAATATTTACGAGGAATTAAATTTCTCATGTCCTGAATTTAAAAGAATTGTCAAAATTTAAATTTTAAACATCTGAATTTATAATTCATTTTTATTACTACTTGACCTCCTTTTATGTTTATTTATTGGCGTCCTTAGAGAAGGGTCATTAGAGAAATTTCAAGGGTGGAAGCGATTGAATCATTAGTGAGGACATATATTCCTCATAAAGGAGGGGTATAGCTGTAGCCCAGTTGTAATTCGTACAAATTTTCATTTTATTATTTTGGTTACACGGTTGTAAAAAATAATAAAATTAATTCTCATTCCATCATCTTTTCACAATTCTTTTAGAAAAATATTTTAATTTTTAATTCACTTATTAGACTACTGATCTTTCAATAAAAGAGTGTTTTTGTAGCATGACTTTCAACGTAGATATGTGTTTTGAAAATACTGAGTTCAAGTTTTTATATTAAAAAGTGTATTTTAAAAGTATGATTTTAGTAGCGGGTAACCCGTAACTTGTGCCTGAAGACACGGTCCAATATGAATAATTTTGAAAGGGATGTTGGTAGCCGTTAAATAAATTTATTTGAGACTATCGAATTGACTTATTGAAACTTGTGTTTCAAAAAATACAATTTCGCTGAAAGAATGATAGTTTTGGAAATAAATTTGATACCGTGATGTTTTATTAAAAAAATTATGAAAGTATTGACAATCAGGAAAAAAAAAAACCAAACAATAAATGAAATTGATTTATGTTTCTCTTGTATTGACAAATCATGTTATATCAACAATTTAACAAATTAGTAACCTTTTATCTTTTTAATAATTGTGATTTCACGAAATCGTGTTTTATGGTCCTTGGGATTTTATTTAATAAAACATTTATCTTAACTCCCTTTTCTCTTTTTGATCTTAATGTAGTCTTATGGTTAATTTATTATTTTTTTGGTCTCTCTCTCTCCCTCTCTCACACTTGGTGTTATCAGGATCGGTCGGTCGAACCGGTTCAACCATGAACCAGGACCTTGATAGTTCTGGTTCTGTAATTGAACCCGCTTAAAGAAGAGAACCAGCTAAAAATCAAAAAATTGGACGATTCTTTAAAAAAATCGTGAATTGGCCGGTTTAATGCCAAGTCAAAAATTAAATTACATAAAATTAAAAACTCAAGCTTTTAGATATTTTTATTGCCCTAAATTGTAGAACAATCCAAAAGAAGGCGACTCCGGCGAACAATGACTTCGATCATCCATTGCGATCAATCAGCCACTGCAAACAGGCGAACTCAAGCAAGATGTTCTTGATTTGAGTTTAATTTGGAAAGATTTTAAATTTGATATTGAGTTTTTTTATGGGCTATGTGATTTTCTTTTAAAGTCATTGTTTATAGAGTGGTTTGATTTTCTTTGTTTACCTCCATATATTCATGGGGGTTTTTCCCTGCGCAGCACTTCATCAAGTTTGTAAATTTGCTTGTTGATATCTTTTTCTATTTGGAATAAACAGGAAGAATTGTGCTCGAAGCTTTAATTTTGAAATCAGCTATGGTTGCATCTCTGACTGGATACACTTTCTGGCTTCTAAGAAGGGCAAGGACTTCAGCTATCTAAGACCAATCTTGTTCACCAGCCTCGTGGTGCTCTTCTTGACTGGGTTTATTCAGGTTATATTCCTTTTTTTTTTGCCCTTTTGGCTGTGATTTGGAGAAATAGTTCATGTTTTTGCTTAAGATTGTTTGTTAATTATTATTCTGATAGAAATTTGATTTCAAATTACTAATTATATGACAACTTCATTAATTTTATGACAAATTGTATACATTTTAAACATATTTTGTATTTGTTAGCTAAATTATTATATTTTATAATTATTATATATATATTTTTTATTATATGGCCAGTCCGACTAGTGACGTACCAGTTAAACCAGTAAACCATTGACCCAGTCTTCTAGCCAATTCGATGACCGATCCGATTCTGATAACATTTCACACACTTATTAATTATCATTCTCTAGTCTTTTTAAAACTTTTTTATTCAAATACTGTTGTGTCAAACTTATTTACATAAGAAAAGTAATTTCAAAACACATTTTTTAATGCAAAAGCGTGTCTTGAAAACACAATTTCAAAGGTTTTTGACTATCAAAACAACAGTAGTTTGGAAAAAACGTTTGAAAACCACATAAAATGATAATTAAGTCCTCTTTCTCTCTGTCTAAAATCAAAATCAGTAGCAGATTGGAGTGCAAAAGATAGTATAGTATGAGCCTCAGGGTGACCCATTTGCTAAACTGCAATGAAAAACGTTAGGAAGAAGGTTCAAGATTATCATCATACGAAAACAGTTACTAAAAATCTGATTAATGACATTTTCTTTAATGCTGGGAAAAATATAAGACTAAATAGAGCTTTAGCAAAAATTATCACCACCACCTTGTAAAATCAAAAGGTGAAGATGCTCAATTAGGAAGAAAGTTCAAGCCGCGGTTGGAAGCAAAAACCTGAGAAAAGCTGAAGAGAAAACTTCTTAATCACAGGACACTTCCGCGACCAGCTCCACTGTCTCAAGGTCATGTCGAACACAAGAAGAGCTGTTGCTCCATAACTCTGAACGTATATAAGGTCACCAGCACCACTGCTAGCAAAAACATCATCTATCTCTCCAAATCCCTGAAATAACTTATAAGGCACACGAGATACCTCTTCCAATTCCCTCCCTTTAAGAACCCAAATGCAAATTCCCTTTATTATGCCTGGTCGATCTTGTCTCCCAATACCTCCCACCATCACAAGCTTGTCATCGAGGTTCAACAGCCGTCCACAAGTAACAAAACAAGGAACTGGGACTCTAGTAGAAATTGACATATCCTGGAATGATGGGGTATAAAGATTATAAGTTAACAAAGCATGGTGATCCTCAGTCTCGTCTGTTCCAGTATAATAAACAAGGACATACAAAACCCCATCACAAATGATACTATCGTATCCTGCTCTCCACCTGGTGAGAGTTTTCTTCATGGGAGATAGCCAAATCATTTTATTTGAAGTATATATGTGAATTGAAATAGCCCATTCATCATCAAAAACATGCTCCGATCCTACAATGGCAACAGTATAACTGTGTGATGGCCAGTCCACTGAAAATGCAAGGGCTGTGTAACCCAAAAATGGTTGTCCCAAAAGTTCCAGTTTCTTGTAGTTTCTAGTAAGCGGGTTACAAACATATAGTTCATTCCTGCTATAATTATCCATGAAGCACACTAAACCACAAGATGAAGCAATATAATAATTATGCTTTACACTACAAGGGAGTTCAGAGCTGTACCATTTGCTTAACAAAGGATCATAGAAATACCCAATGGGTTCGTCAGAGCTGGTAAACATGAAGTACCAAGGTTTCTGTGCTAAAGCATTTGAGATGTTCAACATAAATTTTTTCGAGTGCACAATTTCATTCCACTTTTTACAAACACAAGATGCTTTTAAAATGCACTCTAATGGGAGAGAGGCGATTATTTTTTCCTGCAGATCATCAGGTAGGATCCGATCAATGGGGATATGATTGTTTTCTTTATCAACTATGTCAGTTAGCTTGATATGCGGATGGAACACACCTGTTCCCCTCCTATTAAGCTCATATCCATCATCAGACCAGGATTTTCCTCTTTCCATTGCCAAGTTTAAGGAATCCTGATAGACAGTGGATACATCTTAAATGAGGTAAATACAGAACATACAGAGGCAGGAAGGAGTTCATATTGCTAAAGGCCATTTTTGAACAACGAACGAACACCTTTACATGCTTACTTGCACCTTAGTTATAACATTAAACATGTCATAAGAGATCGACTTTATAATAGAACTTTGTGCAACCAATTGAAAACATAGCATGTGAAGGGTTAGGGCTAAATATTTAGAACACTGCCACTGGAATCTAAGTTCAATGTTATCTGGCTCGGCACATCTCAACAATGGCTGTTTTTTTTCCAAATAGAAGAAGAAACTTGGCATACAACAAACTTGCATATATCTTTTGGTCGAGAGATTTGATCAAAAAATTCGAAAAATTAACAAAAATCAACCAATGAAAATGGATTAAAACTGTCAATTACTGGGTACTCAATTCAAAGTATTGTAATACATTCATGAGGCACGATGATACCATCATACAAAGTAATATACAGAATGACAAATAAACTTATGCATTGCCAGGGACCAAAAAATTAAATTTAGCAACATCAGAATAAGTTATAATGACACAAAAAAAACCATGACACTATAAAAAATGCCAGCTTTTCATTATTTGAATGATGAACATATCGAAACCCTAGAAAATTTTCATCATTAGTTTTTTTTGAGAGTTCAACGGTGTCCGAACCAACTTATGCATACCACGACAAGTGCGAAATTAGACACTTACAATCATATAATACAACACATCATACGTTGCACCCAAAAAACAAATTACACAAACATCAATTGAACCAAAACAATTGATAGAACAAGAAGAATAAAAAACGACAACAAAAACATAATGAGATTTTAAAGAAACCAAGTATTACCATCATAAGACAAGAGGGTAATATATATATATATAGAAACTACCTATAATAAGATTAACTCAATGTCAATTAAAGAACAGACCTTGTCGGAAGGAAAGCCGCTATTATCATCACCCAGATTCCTGAACACAAGGTGAATTAAATATGAAAAGAGAGTATGTATTCAATCATAAGAAACCCACATAAGAATCAAGAAAATACCCTGATGGGAGTAGAGCCATACTTATTTTCTCTTCTTTCGCTTCAAAGACCAAATGGGTGTCCCCACGCCTATCACAAGACCACCAGATTCAGACAAAATTGAAGGGAAATGGAAAACCAGGCAGCTAGTTCGTGGAAGAAATGGAGCGAATTGAGCCTCAAACACATTGATAACTCCAACGAAAAGCATCCATCGCAACCCAAATAAGGCTCTCACAGAAACATAGACAGAGACAACAAGAAAGTCTGTTTTTTTTTCTGTTTCAATGAAACAATACGACAGAATAGCGAATGAAATGGGTGGCAGTTTTCGATGGGGGTGTTTCACTTGGATTTGGAGTCTTTAATGGGAAAAAAAAAAATGGGGCGGCCCGCCGGCTGCCATAGGGGTGTGTGTTTGCGCGTAGAGAGAGAGAGATAGTTCCGAGATTGCAATTAAAGTCAGTGTCTGAGCTGTCTGAACTGGTTCTTTTCTTTTTTATCAACGAGAACTAGAGTATCTACACTTTCCATAGTCTCTATACAGCGCGCACACACACCCAGGCTATCCGATGTCGGATAGCCTCATCCTTTAACCCAGTTAGGCCCAAAGGCCTCACCCAACCGGTAGGCGGGCCCTAGTGGAGGTAGATGAGCCCACACACGGATACATATTCTCAGTAACATCTGATATTATTAATTAATAATAATATATTAAAGATAAATGAATTTAACTATTATAAGAAATTAGCAATTCAAAAGGTGATTATTTAAAATGATTAAAATAATAATATTAGTCAGCGGTACCGAGTTAGGTCTTATAAATGTAAAGTTATAATTGTTTAAAGTAGTTCTTAATCAATTATGAATTATATCAATAGTAATTTTTTTTTTATCTTGATTTTTAAAAAATTGTAATTTTTATGATTAAAAATAATATTTTGGGATCAGTCATGCTATTTTTACTTATAATTTATGCACCAAAAAATTTTAACTTGATTTTAAAAAATTATAATTTTTAATAAACAGTACCATATTCTCTATTGAAGCACAACGGGTCTTCCTTACCTACTTGAAAGTATGTCATGCATGTGATGCTTGTGCCAACTATGTAATTATATGCATGTATTGCAATACTAGAAACATGTGCGTCTGTGTGTTTGGCCCATCCCAGTATAAGGTAGTAAACATCACTAAATTGTGAATATCTTACTCATAAACAAATTGTTTACTCAGAAAGATAGAGCCATAAATTCAAACGTTTTTGAGTTTAAATATTGGTAACTCTTAAGGTCAAATCATGAGAAATTTACCTCTTATGAATATCATAATCCTGACATAGATGGTATATTTTTTACTAGATTAAAAAAAAAATTAATCGAAATGCGCATAAATTAATCCGAACATCCCTAACCGTTGAATCAAAAAAATAATTGTGTATATAAAATGGGTCTGTATTATGTACAATTGCACATAATTAAATACAAGTCAAGTACTGTGGAGCTCAAATCAACTTATTCACCAATTGGGTCTGGAAAGTCAATCCAGTTATCCTTATCTAAAGTCAACATTTGATTCGCTGGTGAATCAGTTTAAGATAAGGCTCTGTTCTTGGATTTGCATTATCTACATGGAAGATTTGAAACTATCTAAATAAGTCCCCCCCCCCCCCAAAAAAAAAAAAAAACACCACCACACCAAATACAATTTTTCAGTGTTTTGTGAAGCTTTTATGTAAAAATTGAGAGTGCGTCCTCGTGAATGGACTTATAATAACTTGAATTCGCTAAAAAAATTTATTTGGGGATAAATTTATTTTTTATCTTACTAATAAGTATTTAAATCCTTTATTTTTTTAAAATCTCAAAAATACTCTTAACAGTATTATCATGTTTAATTATAAAAACTTTTAAAAAGCCTTGAAAGTAACTGTAAATTAATTTCTTAAATTAAAAATTATTATCCTTTAACTCACTCCTAAATTAAAATTAAAATTTATATTCTCTCTCTCGTTAGAAGAAGATCATCACTCTAATATAACAAATTTATCTCTTTGGATATCATTTCTTTCTCTATAGCATCAAAATCAGTAAGGTTTGGAACATCATCAATAATTATCATATCTTCTACTGCTTTCTGGTCATCATGAACTTCTATGTCGTTGGTCTTCAAAAAAAAAAAAGGTTGAAAAACTTGCTTAATGTGTTATTAATTTGATCCCCAATTTTATTTTATTTTTTTTTATAAATAATTCCCACATTTTTTTAATGTTTCACATGTAACTACTTTTTTTGTTGATCAGGTTACTATTTTTTCTAATTCACCAAATTACTATTTTTTGTTTATGTTACTATTTTTTTCGAGGATGTTATTATTTTTTCAGTGTTGTTTTTAAAGATGCTGAAGAATTGGAGGTTTTTTTCTCTGGTTATGAGTTTATGTTATTATTTTTATTTTCAATTTATTCAATGTTCCATATTACTATTTTTTTTTGGTTGAGTATGTTACCAATTTTTGTTAAGCATGTCATTGTTTTTGTTAAGCATGTTATAATTTTTGTTGAATATCTTACTATTGTTATTTTTTTTTTATAAAATTTTAATATTAATTGTTACTATTTTTTTATGTTTAAATATTACTATTTTTGTGTTTAAATGGTATTATTATTATTTATTTAAATGATAAAAAAATTTTGTATTTGAATGTTACTATTTTTTATTTTTAATGTTACTATATATATGAGAGAGATATAGTCCTAATTTATATATGAATATAGATAGATATGAGAGAAAAAAAATTTAATGTTAATTAAACTCTTAAAATTTCAGAGTTTTTAATTTTTAATTTTACTTCACTTCTAAATGGAAGGGATAGTCTGATAAAATTAATAAAAAATAAATTTCATAATAAATAAATTTTATTGACGGATTTAAGTTCAAATAAGAATGACTGACTGCCAAATTTTTCAACTTTTATTGGGATTGATCCGTTCCTCGTATGGGTTTGCATGACACATGACTCAGACCAGCCCAATTTGTCTATAGATCTCTATGTGGATCTATATCCATATCTAAATATATAAAAACCAACACTTCAAGGATGTACGGAAGGTTTTCACCCTGTCCCGACATTTCGGCCTCCCAACTGCATGTGAGTGGAAGCCCAAGAGCTTAAATCTGGGAGAAAGCCCAAACTCCAGCCCAATATAGTTGGGAGGAAGCCCAAGATTTTAAATCTGGGACAAACCCAAATACTAGCCCAATATAGTTGGGAGGAAGCCCAAGAACTTAAATCCCCAAGAGCTTAAATCTGGGAGAAAGGCGACTACCGGCCTAATATAGTCGGAAGATACCGCCCGTTATACCTTCTACCACATCAACAACCGTGACCCACTAAACTTAAGAAAAAAGATATTTTGTATTTGGCAAAAGAAATAGATAATTAGGCTGATATATCTATATAATAAAGTACAATATAATTCAAATTTTAAAAAATAAATAAAATTATTTTTGCTTTTCTCGGTTGAGATCTTTTTAAATTTTACTTTAAAATTAATTCGATGGCTAATATTAACAACCCAAATTTAATAGGAAAAATAGGTTTCTAAAGATGTATTTGAATGACTTTTTAAAAATAATTCAAGAACTTATAACTTCTTATAACTAATTTAAACAAAAAAATAATGTTTGAAACCGTCTCACCCCTACCCACATCGCCCCACCACCATTTCAACACCGTTCCACCCCCACCCCCACCGCCATCACCACTATTATCACCGTGACCACCCCACCACCACAACTACCCCCACCCCCCACCTCTACCGCAATAACCACCATCACCATTGTCGACGTCGCCACTACCACCATCACCATCACCATTACTATAACCATAGGCGGAGGGTGGCAAGGGCCAAGGTGGGCACGTGCCCTTCCTCAATTTTTTTTTATTATTAGTTAAATATATGTATTATATATTTATACATATATATTATGTGTGCCCCCTAATTTATATTAGACTCACATTATTTACTCAAAATGATTAAAAAATTAATCCAATTTAAAATATAAAAAAATTGAACTCACTACTATCTACCCAAACTTATTAAAAAATCAAATATTTGACCTATCGCAATCCACCCAAACTTATTAAAAAAACAAAACATTTAGCTCAACATTAAAAACAAAATTTTTGGCCCAACATTAAAAACAAAACTTTTGGGCCACCATCATTAAAAAAGAAAAATTTTGACCTACTTTACTAAAACTTATCTTATCTTTTTTTTTTTCTCTCTGTATCACTCACTCCCAACTGCCCACTGCCCAACCACAAGAAAAAGAGAAAAAACAAAGAAAAGCTCAACACACGAGAAGCTCAGTTCCTTGAGTTTTTTTGTCCTTTCTTGCACCAACCTATAAAATTATTTTATACATTATATTTACCCCTTAAATTTTTAAAAATTTTAATAATGGTTCTAGTCTTTTTTTTTAATAAATTAGTGGATCATTAACCCTCTAAAATAAATATGTTAGTTTTGGATTGAGTCAATGTTCTATTTGTATATTGACGAAAATACAAACATTTCTCTATATCTAACACAATGTTCGTTATTTTTTTAGAATAATTTTTAGTTTTTATTTACTATTTTTTTAGTAATAGTAGTCTATAACCTAATAAATACGATTGTATACAAAAAACAAAAGGTTGTAACCTAAAAATATTTCAAACTATTTTGAATAGGAAATTTTTCTATAAGATTGATAATAATCTCAGCTAAATTTTGTAACTAAATAAAGAATAATTTTACTACGTGCTTGTGATTGTGCGCATTAATTGAAAATTAGTGAAAAATTTAGCCTAAATATTTTTTTGTATTAATTTCGACTAAATATTTTTTTATACCAGTTATATTTTGCCTCTATCATAGATATTTATGGCTCCGCCCCTGACAATATACATTTTTTTTGAAATTTTTTATGTTAAATGGACTTCATATATCAAATATAATATAATAAATATAAATATGTTATATGTTGTGATTGGT